AGGTAAGCCCGGGACTCCTCACGCACAGCCTGGCACAACAATTTCCCCACTAACCTACGCAAAACCTCCCCTACAGCTATGGGCCTAACACCCCCCTGCTTCTTAGGAAGTGCGTGCAGAGTGGCCCCGGCAAGGTGCGGCGCCAGGGTGGCAGGCGCCTCACCCCGCGCAAGCAGCTGACACAAAGCGGCCAAGTTGGTAACAACCTCATCGGCGTGCGCGCTGAGGAGGGCCTCGCGCAGGTGGTCGGCACGGAGGCCGGAAGGGCCGGGCGCCGAGCCACGCTTGAAGCCACGGACTGCCTCAGCAACTGCCTGGGTGTCAAAGTCTGGGACAGCACCAGGGCGCGGCGGGCCGAGAGCGTCCAAGTCAGGAAGAGGCGCTTGAGGGTGCTTAGCCTGGAGACTACTTAAGGTGTCGGGACTAGGGGCTAGGGCAGGCGGGGCAGTAAGGGCAGTGCAGGCACGGGAGAGGTCACCCTCAGCCGCAAGGCGCTTGCAGCGTGAGTGGCGAGCCTCGAGCGTCAGACGGGTTGGGGCCGGCCTGCGGGCACAAAGCTCCTCCCACAGGCCGCAGCGCTCCCCATCAAGCCACCGAAGGCAGCGGCGGCGTGTAGCTTGTGCAGCCTGCGCGCGGCGACGCGCGCCCCCCCTAGCAGGGGCAGAGAGCACAGCCTTAGGCAGCATGAACCCTAAGCTCTACGGCATCAGCACGCACAGCTGAGCCAAATCAAAGCGTGCACTTTAAACCCCAACAAGCCCTGAACTCCAAAGATTAAAGCCCCCAAACCTAAACCTCAATACAAGCCCTGAACCCTATAGCTTCAATACTTGCCCTAAACCTCGAACTCCAATTTCTTTTTCAGTTAAAGGCTAGTAATAGTAGTAATAAGAAACATAATAGCAGAAATAATAGTAATAAAATATCAGTAGTAATAATAGGAATAATAAGAAGGATAGGAATACCAGTAATAATAAAAAAAAAAAGTAAGAGTAGCAAAACCAAATATCCTTTAGTCCCTAGACCCTAAACCCAAAACCACGTGAGCCATTGTCTAAACTCCTAGGATCCCCCTTAATAACCCCTATAGTAGCTCCCTATATAATCCCCTATATAATCCCCCTTTAAGGAGCTTAGACTGTGGCTCACGTGGCTTCACAGTGAGAAGCCTGTAAGGTGCAAGAGGAACACTGCCAAATGATCATGAACGGAATGGGCGGATGCAAAACAAGATGGAAACTGTCAGTGTATTTAGGGTTCAGGTATTGGGGGATTTGGGGTTTAGAGATGTTGGTGAAGGGTTTAAGGTTTAAGGATTTAGGGCTCGGGGCTTTGGGATGTAGTGCTGTAGGGGTAGACACATGTAAGCGCACAGGTAACCAACGCTGACTTATCCTCCCCAAAGTAAAACGGAACCTTAAAAAAGGGCATCCCTTGTATACTATGGTCCTTTAAATGTCTGGGCTGTGTGGGGTTCCATGTTAGTTTCCGCAGTGTAGAAGACCTCGTTACCCCCATCACGCGGATCCGTGAGATTCTAAATCTATCGCCCCTCACGCCCTAAACCCTAAACCCTAAGCCAGAAACCCTAAACCTTACGCCCCAAGACATAAACCCTCGGCCCTAAACCCTAAACCCTAGACCCCAAACCCCAAGCCCCAAAACCCAAATGAGCTATAATCTAAACTCCTTAAAGGGGGTTATATAGGGGATTACATATGGGACTACTATAGGGGTTATTAAGAGGGATACTAGGAGTTTAGGCTATAGCTCATATGGGCCCTAAACCCTAAACCCTAAACCCTAAAACATAACCCTAAGCCCTAAACCCTAAGCCCTAAACCCTAAACCCTAAACCCTAAATCCCAAGCCCCAAAACTCAAATCCTAAGCCCCTCGACTCCCACACCAGGAAGCGGCCTCCGGCGAGGCGTTGGGCAAAGGGCTCGCTTGAGCCAAAGCGGCTTCTCCCCAGGCTTATGGTTTTAGGGTTTAGGGAGGCTGTAAGGGTTAGGGAGGACTTGGGGTTTAGGGAGGACTTAGGGTTGAGGTTTGGGGGGTTTAGGGTTTAAGGTATGAGGGTTTAGGGCTTGGGGTTTAGGGTTCCTTTCAAAAACTTTGGGGTTTGGGAGGGGGGCATTTCGCTTTTGAGCTCCAAAAGCCCTCTGCGAAAATCGAAAACAAAAAACACACTAAACAAATTTAGGAAAATGGGGGTTGGGATCCCAAACACGCCCTAAACCCTAAGCCCTAAACCAATTTTGACTCGAGGCTAAACCCTACGTAAACTCTAAGCCTCTAAACCCTTAAACCCTAAACCCCTAGGCCCCGAAACCCTAAATCCCACGCGGTTTTTGGTTTAAGGGTTTAGGGTTTAGGGTTGGGGTTTTGGGGTTCGGCAATATCAGGCGCAGTGGATATTCTGGAGTTTGGGTAGTTGGGTTATCCTGGTTTATATTGGGCTATCCTGGTTTATATTGGGCTCTACATGGGTGTAACATGGGTATAGCTCCCAACCCTAAACCCTAAACCGCGCATATGTAGGGTCTTATCAGGGTTAGGGGTTCCCTAGACCCTAAAACCCGTTTGAATTTTAGTTTCGAGGGTTTAGGGTGTAAGGTTGGGAGTTCAGGCCTTAGGGCCCCTTAGGGATCCTTTAAAAGGAGTCATGGGGAACATGTAGGCTTTAATTAGGGTTTACAGATGCTTACAGCTTCGGTGTTGAATAAGAACCGACACTGTTCATGTATGTGCCTTAAGTAAGTTTACCTTCTATACCTCAGTGCCTCGTTCTAAGTAAACCCTAAAGCCTGAACCCTAAACTAGGTCCCTGCAGAATTTCATGGCCAGTGCATCGTGGTGGGAACTCGAACCCTGAGGGTTCCATCGCAGGTATTGTTGAAAGCACAGGCACCCCAAATATTCGGGCTTAGGGCTTAGAGGCCATAATATACAAGGAACTCCCACAGGGATTAGGGTTTAGGGTGGAAGTCCATAATTTTGAAAAACCTGCTATCCAAGGACCCACAGCCAGAAAGCGAGCATCAGTCATTTCACAGCCCATGCAATCTCTGCCACCCGGCGATAGCAGCGGGAGAAATCTCGGAGGATCTGCTCCGCATTGCAAAAGCAGTTTAGGGTTTAGGGCTTAGGGTAAGAATCACTCGGAGGTCTGAAATATGACAGGGTTTAGGGCTTGAGGTTTGGGATTTTGGGTTTACTTAATAGTCCCCCCAATAACAAATATTCCCCCAGGTATATATTGGTACTATACTGGGGGAATCTATTGTTGGGCTACTGTTGTGGGGAGGGAAGTCGTTGATGATTCACTTGGGGGATTGACGGGCTAAAGGCCTTCAACCCAATAGGGGACTCCCAATGACCCAATTTAGGGCTCAGGGTTTAATTAGGGTTTAGGGTTTAAGGATTTGGGTTTTCGATCCCGATTGACTTTAACCGGTCTAGAGGGACCCCCCCAATAACAGGCCCCAATTTCTGGAACACTCCCTTTGTAGATACATTCACCACCGAGCAAAAAGGAGTATGCTCTGCCTCTAGTGGACTATGATGCCTGTCTGGCAATCATGTCGTTCCACAATGCTACATTTTCCTTGTCCTCATATTCGCGGCACTTGCACTTGGACGTCTCCTTGTCAGACACCCAGCCACTTGGGCACTGGAACCTCAAGATTTCCGGTTTACAGCTTAGGGTTGAAGGTGCAGGATTTAGGGTTTATAGCTTAGGATTTAGGGCTTGGGGTTTCGTGAAAGCGCAGACTTGCTGGCACGTCCGCGTCTGCGCAACATGCCTTCTTGTTGTTGTTGTTGTTGGTGGTGGTGGTGGTGGTGGTTCTCCCCTGGATAGGCCAAGGCATCCTGGCGTGGGCCTTGGGGTAAAAACCAAGGTACCTGGCGAACCTCATCTACAATCCATTCGAAACTTTCCAAGCCCCACAAGGCCCCCAAAAAAAGGGATGGGTTTAGGGTTTAGGATTATAGGGTTTAGGGCTGAGGGTTTACGGTTTACGGTTGAGATTTTAGATTTTAGATTTTAGGGTCTAGGTTTTAGGGACTGGCGTTGAAGGTTAAGGGTTAAGGGTTCAGGGCAAGGGCCAGGTGTGCTGCATGGAGCTGTGGAGGTAGGACATCTTGCACCACCTGTAGTACACCAGACCTCTAGGAATTATGGAATATACCTTAAATCATATTAGGGATCCCTAATATGATTTATGGTCATTCCGTAATAATGGAGTTATGCGACTCCCATTTGGTGCAAGGTTTCCTCCATCCAACGAAGGACGGTTCGTAAAGCGGAGACTTTTTTATGACCAATATTTCCCGAGGTTTTAGGGTTCAGGGCCTAGGGTTTAGGCTTTAGAGGTAAACCTATACCCTAAACCCTATACCCTAAACCCTAAACCTTAAACCCTAAACCTATTGCGTCCCATTATGATGACTATTCCGGGGTGTAGAGCTGACTGCAGAGCTGGCAGCATAGTGTCCGGAATCTTGACGGCCGGGTCTTTGACAAAAAGCAACTCGTTGTCCTTCTGGCAAGTAGGATGGTACCTTGCGGTGCAGTTTAGGGTTCAGGGTTTAGGGCCTGGGGTTTAGTGTTTAGGGTTTAGCGGGTAGCGTGGGCTTTCAAGGTCGCTTGTGGGTTCTATGGGGCTCCGTCTCTGGTGGTGGTAGTAGAGACATGATGCTTCTGTTGCGCGCACGGATTGACAACCCTAAACCCTGAACCCTTCTCCTCGAAAACCGTACGTTGCGGGACCCTGAGGTTTCTAAGGGGTTGGGGAGCCTGCCTATAAGGGTTTAGGGTTCAGGATGTGTATTTGGAACACGGACAATATTTTGATTTGGGCCTGGATGCTCGCGGAAGCTGAACCGGGCATCTTAAAAATGCATCCAAAACCCTTAACCCTAAACCTATACCCGTTTCCAAAGTAAGGGGCCAGTAGCTGGCCTCAAACTGCAAGGCCGTGCACGGTTATGGTTCGAGGGTTTTAGATGTGGGGGAAGCTCCCGAAGGTCCAAGGATTCTCTACGAAACGTCTGGAGAACCCTTGAACATCCCCTTGAAGCATGACAGTGTCCTCTCAGCTATAGCCTAAACTCCTAATATCCGCCTTAGGAAGCCCTAAGACACTCCCCTATATAATCCCTAGTCTAAACTCCGAGTATCCCCCTAAATAAGCCCTTATAGTAGTCCGCTATATAATCATCTATATAACCCCCTCTAAGGAGTTGAGATTATGGTTCGTAGAATTCCCCTAAACCCTCAACCCTAAACCCTGTCCAGTTGCCACTGCATCTTTTGGCAATAGGGTCCATTCCATTCCACACACTGATGGCGCTCCCACTGTATGTGGTGAAGATGCCAGATGAGCTTGACGCCTGAGTAAGGTTTTAGGGTTTAGGGTTTGGGGTTTAAGGGCTTGCTTGCTTGCTTGACTTCGGTCCGAGTCTGTCACAGACGCCTGGTACTATGAGCAAGGCGGAAACGAAAGAGGGGTTTAAGGGTTTAGGGTTTAGGGTCTATTTAGGGTTTAGAGTGAGATGCATGATAAAATGGGAGGCTCGAAACATGGGAGGCCCCTCATTCAGGTCCCAACATGCGAGAACTCCGACAGGAAGGACCAATTGTTGGAAATCCCTCCATAATTTGGAAACATGAAAACTGGCATAAGGTTACAAGTTTCCGGCCCTGGGTGCAAGGTGAAAAACCAAGAGTTAAGGTGCAGGGTTTAGGGTATAGGATTTGGGGTCTAGGGTGTGGGGTCGTTGCATGAGGGCTTGAAAGAAACTCCTCCACATCTTGGGCAGTTCCCATTTGCCAGAACCACACCCTTGAAATCCAAATTCCTAAGCCCTAAACCCGAAATCCTATATCCAAAGCCCTACACCATAAACTCCAAACCCGAAACTCTACCTCCCAGATACCCTTATAGAACCCCTGTAACCTTACACCCTAAACCCTAAACGCTGAATTGTAGTTTCCATGTTCTTTTCCATTATCCCTATATACCCCCCATAGAAGTAACCCTAAACCCTAAACCCTTACACGACCCTGACACAACTGCAGAGCTATGCACCTGCAATAGGATCCCGCGCCACGGCCTGAGGGATTTCTCTGAGGATTTCTATGAAGGTCTATAAGAAAAGGGTCTAGGGGTTTAGGGTTTTAGGGGTGTAGGGTTGAAGGTTTAGGGTTTAGGGTTTAGGGCTCGGGGTTTAGGGTTTTAGGGGTGTAGGGTTTAGGGTTGGGGGGTTAGGGTTTAGGGTTGGGGGTTTTGGGGTTTAAGGTTTAGGGTTAGGGGTTTAGCGTTTAGGGTCGGGGGGGAGCTCCAAAAATTAGCGCCCCCTTTTCCGGGCTTGGTAGGAATTATGCAAGGGTATGTAGGGATGAGGCTTATAGTCTCCATCAACGACTATTGAGGGAAGCTACCATGGAGACATCCCGGAGAAAGCTGAGGGTGCGGGATTTGGGAAAGGGCTCGAGATATGTTTGGGTCTAAACCCTAAACCCTGGGGTTCAAGATCTGTCTTGGGATATCTGTAATTGAATCTTAGGGATGCATTTGGGCGTAGGGGTCTTCGGCATCCAGTTTTGCGGTTTACGGTTTAGGCGTTAGGGCTGAAGTGTATGCAGAGGTTCAGGCCTCCCAAAGATACTGATCTACTTTAGAGATCACAGTAAACGAAACCCTAAACCCTCAACCCCACGCATGTTGACAAAGCAGGGGGCGGACTCTAAGGACTCACGGCAGTACAAGGAGGCCGGCGGCCTCTGTTGGCCATCATACAAGGGACAAATGTCAAGAAAAACAGCCATCCTTGTGCCCGAAATTCTGAACCCTGAACCCTCAACCCTAAACCCTAAACTCTAAACCCTGAACCCTAAACCCTAAACCCTAAACACTGGGCGCGTAGTGCTGATTGATCCCCACCTTCTTGAAAGGAGCGAAATGCTTTGACACCAGGTCTCGCTGCACCTTGCTGAGAGGTGGCGATAAGTTTAGGGTTTAGGGTTTAGGGTTTAAGGTTTAGGGTTTAGGGTTTAGGATTTAGGGCTTTGGGCTTAGGATTTCGCGTTTAGAGTTTAGGATTTAGGGTTTTGGAGGTAACCACTAGAGTGCAGAATCAAATGAAAAACAACATGGAAGTGGATATCTCGAGTCCCTTTAAATGGTTTGTGGGGAAATTTTGGGAAAGGGAATCATAGAGCATCATGTAGGGGCTTATATGAGGTATCAAGAGGATGTGGGTAACCCGAACCTCTATACGAAGGACCCAGTACAAGGCCTTGGGCCTCCAAAATCTGCTTCCTAGTTAAGGTACTATGATGAAGTTTGGGTACTGCCCCCACCCAGTAACAGTCTATATTAGGGGTCCTATTAACGGCTATATATAACTATAACTATATTATAGATATTATCCTACTGCTACTGAGTGGGGGCAATACCCAAGATGAAGTCATCATGTTCAATCTGGGTTTCAGATTTTCATGTACATGTAACATGCTATTGAACAACAGCGCTAAAATCTTAAATGGATCTAAACCCAAGTTTCGGCATCCTACATCCTGAACCCTGAAACCCCTAAGCTCATGAACCCTAAGCCTTCTATTCATGCTGTTTAGATCCACAACTCTGATCCCCCAAACTCCCTCTTGAATTCACTGTAGAAGCTCAACCCTAAACCCTAAACTCTAAACCCTAAATCGCGTGACTAAATTATTAACTATATCATGTTGAGGTCCGTTTGAGATGCCCCATTTCAGAACCATACGAAGGAACCTAGGACAACGACATCGGCAATCCTCGCTATAATGAACCCCTAAAACCTCAAACCCTAAAATCCCCTATACATCCCTTTCTTCTTCCATTTTCCTTTTCCAAATGATTCTCTATTCATCCCCTATACCCGTTTAAAGTATAGGGTTTACGGTTTAGGGCTTAGGGCTTGTCCCTGAGCAAAACGCCTCCTAGACCTCCAAGCCACAAAGCCCCTTACAGAGCCCGTTTCATCCCTATATAATCCTGGAGAACCGCTTTTTTAAGCCTATACATTAGCAGGACCCTCACCTTGTAGTAGTGGTATAATAGGAAGATACTAAGACCCTTTTAATATAATCCTTAATATCCCTTATACTCCCTAAACCCTAAATCTTAAAACCCTAAACCCTTAATATCCCTTATAGTCACTATTACAGGGTGAAGGGGTCTTCCTAAACCCTAAACCCTAAACCATGAATAGTAGCTTCCATTTTCTTTTCCATTATCCCTCTATAACCCTAATACATACCCTGTCCTAACCCTCCTAAACCCTAAACCCCCAAACCCCAAACCCTAAACCCTAAACCCCAAACCCTAAATCCTGAACCTCCCCCACCCTGGACCCTTCCTTCGGCTGCAGGTGGGGGGGGTCCACCTTCCCTCTACAATTCCCAGGGACACTAAGCGGAGGCAACTCGCTGTGCGGCGGAAGGGCGACATTGAATGCCACCTTGCACAGCTCAGGGCTTGAGGTTTAGGATAAACCCTACACCCTGAACCCTGAGGGGGGTTTAGAATGTAGGGTTGAGGGTTTAAGGTTTCGGAGTTTAGGGGTTAAGGGTTGAAGGTTGATTGTTGAAGGCCACCTTCCCTGATAACCCCAAGAATAACACAGGTTCCTTGCAAGGGACAAATACTGGATTGATGGGTTCTGCGGATTACTTATAGCATTTCGGAATCTATATCAAGGTCCTCTCTCATTTGTGATCCAAACTATTTCCCCGCCCAAAAAGTATCCTTACTATGGATGCAGGTAAATCTTGCATCACCCTACATACCCCCTATCCCCCCCAAAATACCAGTGTTTATGGGTTCGAAGTGGTTCCTCTCAGCCGCTGGTTTGTGTACATCTCCGACCGCGAGACACTGGGCACCAGCTTTGAAAGACTCCTGGGTTGCGGTTAGGGAACTAAAAGGTGTGGGGTTTAGGGTCATTATTTACTATAAACCCATATCCCTAAACCCTAACCTCTATAGTAACTTAAACTAAGTCCAGGAATTTTTGTACTATATACCCATAATATGGCACCTTAAATCCTAAGCCCTATGTACCCAGAATATGGTGACTGAAAAACCCCTGAACCCTAAACCCCAAACCCTAAACCCTGAACCCTAAACCCTGAACCCTAGACCATGAACCCTGAACCCTGCACCCTAAACCCTGAACCCTGAACCCTAAACCCTGAACCCTGAACCCTAAACCCTAAACCCTCTACCCTCTAAACCCTAAACCCTAAACCATGAACCCTAAACCATTTGAACCCTGAACCTTAATAGCAAAAACCAGACTCAGGATGGCAACAGCACTCCGGTGAACCACGGGGGCGAAGGTCGCACTGCTCCCAGAGCGGTTCGTGTTTGACCTCGGTTGGTTTAGGGTGTAGGGTTTAGAGTTTAGGGTTTAGGGTTTAGAAATCACATACATTCTATATACCCCCAAGAGATAAGAATCCTCAGTAATAGGGACCCCCACAAAGAGACGCCTAATATTTCAAAACTGCGCTCCTGTTTTGGTACCCAAGAATTTCACGTCTGGCACCAAGCAGAGCAACTGAAAAGCCTACGGCCGCTGCCGAACCCCTAAATACCCTTAAAGCTGAACCCTAAACCCCAAACCCTAAACACCAAACCCTAAACCCTAAACCCCCAAACCTTAAACTCTAAACCCCCAAACCCAAACCCTAAACTCTAAACCCCAAACTCTAAACCCTAAACCCCAAACCTTAAACCCTAAACCCCCAAAACCCCACACCCCACAGCCTAAAGCCCACCTCCGCACAGACCTGCGGGTCGTCGGTTTGCGCAAGGTAGTTCTTCACCTGGGTTGGTGTTAAGGAACT